CGGTGACTTCGTTGCGTACTGAGCGCCACACGCAAACCATGATCTCATACACGTAAGGAGTGTTATAAAGGCGGCTTTTAGAAGGAGCCATTGCAGTCTGATCCCCCTTTCAAAGCAGAGCCGGTCTGTCCTGCCAGCTGGCAGTATTCCAAGCCGTACCTCAAGTGCTGAACTCGATCTGGATCAAATTCGCTCCGTTCTTCTCCCACGAAAAAGATGAGCCCTAATTAAATCGACTAGTATGGGAGGGAGTCTGGCGTTTTTCTATCAAGGGAGGTGGTCGAGCGAAAAATTGGCATGAACTGGTAGGCTGCGACGCTTAACCCAGAACATTTGTCACTTACTGCCAAAAGCTACCAATCTTGGTTAATGTGGTTTAATACCAACGTTCTGGGTAAGAATTCATATTTAGCGCACAACGCACGTTTTCTGTGATTTATTCTGAAACGACGCTTTCCGGTAATTTTGACGAATGCGTTTTGAAGCGTCCCGGCTTCGATTGATCACCTTCATTGAGGATTTCCGAAATTGTTCTGCGATTTCAAGATATCGGTAACGGCCGGTATCAACTGCCCATTCCTGTTTACGGTATTTGCGAGGAATTGCGTCTGTGAGCGAATTGACACCACTGTGATGAGGTTGTCATCTAACGATAGAAAGTACTATGGCTTTCTGATGCACACCATCAGATCTTTATTTAGGTCAACTTCAGCGATTTAGTGTCGCTAATCCTTTTTTCACTAAATTATGCCTTTTCCTCTGGTTTTTGCTTATCGTGGGCACTCATATGAGTTTGCCAGGTTTATCCAGTTCTTGTCCCCTGAGGCTCAGTTTGATGGCTTTGTGATCGCCTTTTGTCGGGCGGCTTTTGTTGTCGTTTGTTTCAAATCTTTGAGGAACACCATCTACAAAAGCGCGTTTTGAATCAACTAGTATGACAACAAATATCTCTCTTTTACCCACATGCATGCTCTAGTTTAGCATGCTAGATCGCATAATTTGCATGCCTTTATCTACTTACATCTAACCCCTCCATTGGGCTGAATACGTGCGTTTTGGCATGGAATGGGATGCCCGTACAGACTTTTCGATTTTGTCTCCTTGCTGCGTATTTGCTCACTGTTGTTTTACCTGACTGATCAGGTACCGCGAGCCTCAGCGATACCGAATCGGCCCGGCCACTATCTCCCGAGACTGACATCGATGATGAATTTAACTACCCGCCTCCTAACGAAAATCAGCCGATCATGGTTCGTAAACGACCGTTACAGTCACTCATTTCCTGTATTTATTGCTCTTATTTCTCAGTCCCCACATGTCAATTATTATTATGGCTTCTATTAAAAAGTTTTATGCGCATATAAAAGCAAAAAGCAAGAAAATATGTGAACAAGGTGAAGATCACGAGATTAGCATAATTTATTGACGTCATATAATTTCGCGACCTTTTATTCAACTGCAAACTGTCATTGCCTATTAATAAGTTAAATTAACTGTCCAATTAAATGTCGACCTAGAGGGGTGGAACTTGCTAGATAAATAGCGTATAAGCTATTTTTCTTAGATGTGGGCGCATGGTGAAGGGGTACAGGAGGGGGGGGGAGAGGTAGTTGTCACAACATGGCAGTTCATGTTCTTGAAAGCCTGTGCGACATAGTTAAAAGGAGGGGGCAGAGGACGGGGTAGCAATCAGCCCTAAGGGGAGCGAGGAGGCGTGAGAGGAGATGAGTGTATCGATCGGTACCACGGCAATGCGAGGTCGATCACATGATCCAGCTGCTTACAGAGTTCTGGTTTTCTTCTCCGAACCTGGACGGGTGTAAAGGTCCGTTATACTGCTAGTTGTTGAGACCTAAGCAAAAATTATCATTCCCATTTATGCAACTTCTCATTTCCGCATCTTCAATAAGCCACAGAAGTTTGCTGGTTTCCAAGGCTTTACAGATAGATTGGGCTGTCGTACTAATGAGGACCGTCCAAACTTCCACGACATTTCCAAGTGTAAGAACACAGGCAGCTAAATGCGATACTTGCGACCCATCGATCCTTAGTTCTTTGAGATGGGTCTACGAACATATGACTCTACTAGACATGAATGGGTTGTGTCTTTTTTGTCCCGCCTTTAAGCCTCCAGGTTACTTGCATCTTGGTTCTGTCTTCTAACTTTTTACAGGTACTCAGTCCTCATTTTATCTCCCCTCCCCCCTCTTTTAGGCCGCGGCACATGCCCTTCACCAGGAGGCGAGAATGTGGTACAGTCGTGATAACGATCTGATTGCAGCCACCAAACGCATCGCTAGCCTAATGGCCAAATTGAGTCAGATTGTTCGGTAAGCAGTCTCTCTCCTTCCACGTCGCCATAGCATTTTCACTCTCCTAATAATTTACCTCTCGTAATCAGCGATGGCCGTTTGCATCAGTTTGTACTTGAAGTTGCAATGTTTTTGTGGAGGGCCTTATTGGGCGACGGTAGTAGTACGATTTGAAAAAAGTTGAGGAGTGAAAGCCTTAGCATAAACGTACACTTACGACAAATTTGAGTGTTTTCTCCATGACTGATTTTGATGGCGGGGAGGCATCCCTGCGAGGCACTTTACTTCAGATTGAAATTCAGCAGGCGAATCAAATGGTTAGCAGTGAAGCAGTACAAGTGGAAGATATGGAGCCAGATATTTTTGTCACTATACCGAACTTCATCCATTATTTTTTATATTGGGACTGCAGGTGTAGGCCAGTCGGCGTTATCTCCGCTTTCTTCTTTTGAGCACGTGTTATCGAGGGATTAACCCCGCGAGCCACCGCTTTTTCATTACTGCCGGTCATGCTGACATGATACGGCAAAAGTGACTGTTCCCTAGGCAGTGGCGGCAGTCTTTAATGAGCACAATGAACAAACTAATAACGCGAATACGACAGGAAAGGGCACATGCGGACTTTGATCATACTTTGGCAGTCATGCGATCCTTCCAAAACCCAGTTGGTCTGCAGGTCGCCAGGCGGCCGTTGTGTAGGTCAGTTTGGAAGAGGGATGACGCTTTGCAGTACCCAAGTTCGAGGGTGGTCTCCACCTTCCCTTCACGTCAACAGCGGGTGATGGGTAACATTCGTCGTGTCGTAGCATCGCTTTGGTTGTTGACTCTTTTAAGGCTAAGGGGATTGCCAGATTGACACCTACATACGCCCAGGAATATTATTACTGCGCTGTCTACCACTGCTCAAGAGCCAGCCTACCTTTCTGAAAGCCACCGTTTTATCTGCCATTTTGGACGCACCGGGAAGCTCATAATTAGACTAATCGTGCGACATCTCTCCTGAACGATTGTCAAGGACACCAACAGTTGACAATGTAACCGTTTACTAAGCTGTTAAGTTTGGTCGAACATTGTGCTGGGTCGTTGCGAAACTCCTCAATTGAAAGGTTTTACTTGAACCTAGTTTCTGGCTGACAGGTGCCTCTGGAGTATTCCTTATGGGCTACTTCGCTTGCGACAATTGAGCGAGGTTTATTTTCGCCAATCACCATTTGCACTCTGGGAAATCGGAATAAAATCCAGACAACTTGACAACGCCATTGCACACACCATATCAAAAATCCCCAATGTAAGGAAGGATAAATTACCCACTCTTTGCCGACGGTAGCGCCCTGAACATTACCTCTGAAGTAGACAATCAGCTAGGCCTCGAACTCTGCCTGCGAATGCGCCAACTTTTGATTAGTCACAAGTTTGTAGGCACCCGCTTTCAGACGTCAACCATACGACTCTTAATAACCATCAGCGACAGTTGACTAGCATGCAATTCGGAGGCGCGAATTCGACTTCAGCGAAAACTCTCGGACTATCCTTTTACTGAGACAACTTTCCTACAGGTACTTCGGTTCAGTTGCCTGCGGTTAAAAATAGAAAACGCAAACACTAAAGGGACAGCCCGTAGGCCTAGCTAAAATGTCTTTGGATTAAATTGGTAAATCATCAAACAGGAGTGCTAGGCATGCAGAGCTGCCGTTAAAAGGGGCGTAACAGTTTTTTCTTCAATGTCAACTGTATTAACGAGGCCAGGGGGAAGATGGGAGAACGCAGGAACGGGAGTGACTCATAATAACGCCGCCAGCACTTAACCCCACCGCAC